GAAAAGATGGGAATCTTTTGATAATATTTATCTATGTTGAAGCAGCTTGTTGTAAATGTCAAATTCTCATAAGAAGATACAGGAAATAGGGGAGTGGGGAGTATTTATTTTCTAAATTTGAAAGATTCTATTTTTGGAGGCTGTTAAAATACTGTTCTCTTTGACTACTGATTTAAAAAATATGTAATCTAGGTATGTCTCTCCTCAGGAAAATCAATATGTTTCATGTAAAATTAAATTCAAGCAACCTTTCTCTTCTTTTATATTAATGATACTCAATAATTTGTTTGGAGCTTTCATATTCATTTGGGTTTTTTCAACCTGTGCAAGCAAATTACTTCGACTTTTGTTAGAATCAAGTTATTTTTCTGTATTTTCCCAATGTCATCTAATATCCTCTAATAGCATGATGAAAACAATACATTATCTGTCTGCTTAATGCTTGTATTCATCCTCCAAGCATTAAGCAACAGTAAGCAAAGCCAGAGATTTCACTGAGGAATGACAGATACATGACAGATGATAACCCAATTCTTTTAAACTGTTTTGTATTGGGGTTAAAGACAGGAATAAAACTGCTATCTCACTGTCTCTGCCAATGCAATTTAACCTGTATTTGATAGAAATTTCTACACTTTATGTGAAACCTTCTCTGTTCTATACTCAACTTTTTTTTTTTTTCAGAAAAGACTATAGGCAAGAGTCTACATCATACAACAGTTGTTTCACACAGTAATTTCCAACTTTTTGTAGCTGAAGCAAAGCATGACTTTTAAAGAAACATTCAGTCTTGATTTTAAAAAGTAACTCATGAAGAGCCTACCACACCTCTTACCAAAATACTGCCTAATTGCCTTGACTGTCAAACTGTATGCACCTTATTTTCAATTTGTCTTTTCCTAGCTTTAGATCACAGCTATGTAGGTCTTTAGTCCCCACTAGATTAAAAAGAGCCAAATCACATCTTTTCTTCCTGTATAGACACTTAGGGATCAAGTTACCTCTCGATGTTTTTTAAAGTGATTCAGCTGGGTTCTTAAAAGCACTTTCTTTTTAGCAAGAGTTATACAGGAAGCTCATGTTTAACCAGAAAAAGTAATCTCTAGAGCCTTTTCAAAGCTACAGCTTCTCTGCATGCAGTGTCTCTTCTTTTTGTGTTTTAACTCACTTCTACAGCATATAGACCATAATATAATGGATGCAATTGAAAAATGTGTTTTGCTAAGTTGCTAAGTTCCATCCTCATTGTTATTTTGCTCCAATGATCACTATAGTTTCCAAGTGTTGATTTTATATTTCTTCCATAACACTGGTAAAAATACCAAATACTAGAAGTTAATATCTGCAAGGACCCACTAAAAATAAGTACAGGCAAAGATGCTCCTCAGGCACAGTGCATTGCTGTGTCTGAATGTTATACACATGGAAGGGCTTGTATTAACACACCTGCAGGTAGGACTAGAGCCTTGAATGTATAACTAATGCAAAAGGGCAGTGAGGAGAATAATGCAGGGTCTCTCAGGATATTAATTTCCTTTTAAGAATGGTTCAGTAAATAAAGAGAGAGAAAATTCATGTGACTTGCCAGCAAATAAGTGAAGTCTGCCTCAAGGCAGGTTTAATTTCCACAATGAAAATATTTCAATAAATAAGCATATATCCACACACTTTTATAATGAATAAAAAGAAGTGTGCACATTTGAGCCAAAATCTTTCTGTCTCCATTTTTGGCTGATTCCATCATTTAGCTTGGCTAAAATAATCCCTTATCCTGCTTGTATTTAGTACATAACAGAGGTCCCATATTGTATGTATAGGAGAAAGGGTATATCGCAGCATTTCACCGCAAGGACATATCCCTCTCCATAAACTCTACAGAATTAAATGCAGAAATCACATGCGCTATTTTTATGAACTAAACCCCACATTTCTTTATGGGTAACAGATGTGGCATTACCTTGCCAGCATCAGGATATCATGACATGTTGACTCTTTGTTCTCATTTTGATTACAGGAAAACCACAGCTCTTAATTATAAGATCTTTTAATAGTTAAAGAAATACATGCACACACAGAAATGAGAAACAGGCATGACGGTGATATCAGTGTGGTAAACTGCAGGCTATGGTGATGAACTGGAAAGGCACCATAAATCGTGTTTAAGCACCTTTTGCTTACTTCGCATTCTGTTCAGCGCGGAGACTAACCCTAACATGCCCAAACAGCTGAGTTTATCCACTATTAATATATGGCAGCGTATTGGGAGTCTTGCAGAACACATATTCAAGGAGTTAGTGATCTTGAGCAAGACATGTCTGCTCTATTGGGCCTTGTACTTAAGGCTTGAGAAGCCAATAGATTAGCCACTCTAACGGAATCTGGTGGAGTGTCCTGTGCTGGCCTGTGCTGCGCGCTGGTGGATGTTATGACAGAGATAACATGCCAACTTGTCAGGAGAAGATACATGATTCTGTTTGTCACACAAAATAAAATGCACCATGGCACGGGAGGGAGGAGGGACCTCTCCACAGACAGGATCTGTGCATCGTGCCAGCTGAAAACCCATCTTGGGTCTGTCCAATGCTGCACAAATGCAGGGTACCCAGCATCTGAAGGTATGTAAGATTTACTCACTATCTATATTCCTCTTTTTATTCTATCTTATTAAAACAGCCATTTCATTAAACCTTTTGTTGTTGGCAGTGAAGAAGAAGCAGGCACTTTCAAATTTCTCTGAACAGAAATGCCATTGGACAGCTTCCATCATGAGGCAAGAACCACTCTAGAAAGCTGGGAGACATATTACTAAATACGATACAAGGAACCAGGGCCCAAATTCACAACCAGACTGCACCTTGTGAAATCCCAAAGTGTGCAAAGCCCTAACCAGTCTATAACTGTGTTTCACATTCAGGTTAAAAGAAAGTAAAGTATACATTCTCCAGCAGGATTTTTCAGCATACTAGCTTCCTCCACTGCCCTCTGCTGGGCAGGTCTACTTTCTCCATATTCCCTGGCCTTACTGCCCCTTTTCCTCCAGAGTTGAAACTTTGGGTTTTAGTCCTCATGGAGAAAAAGAAATCAGTCCCATAAGAATAGCCACTGTAGCACAGAGAAGAGTATATATAAAGTACTGAAATCAGTAAATCAACAAGACCATATGAGAACTCATAAAAAAGAATTTGCAGCAACAGGCTTTAAAGTGTAAAGCTGGAAATGTGGCCTGTCTCTTTTAGCCTGTCCTGGTAACATAAAAAGTCTGTAAATGATGTCTGGAGAATAGCCCAGTTGAACAGTTTCCAAAATGGCTCCATGCTAGTTCTTTTCCAGGCTTTAGTATAGGGAAGCATGCTAGGGCAGAGAAATGAGAAGAAATAGCTGAAATGTTTTGCTCTCTGGCTATCCTTCATCCCTCTTGGAGGAACTATTGGATGCCAGTATATACAAAGGTGAAGGGTTGCCCTAACTTGTCCTTCAAGGCTGCTTCAAGAATAACAAGTGTAAGACAGAGTTGAAAATCATTGATTTTTGTCTTTTTTTTTTTTTAAGTAATCTGATTAAATTTAAATTATGTAGTTGTTTAATACCTCTTATCAAATTCAAAAGCACTTAAAATTCTCTGGACATACAAAAAATAACTGCATAGTTATGCTCATAGTCTATGGTTACTGTCGTGGTTTACCCCCAGCCAGCAACTAAGCACCACACAGCCACTCGCTCACTCCTCCGCAGTGGGATGGGGGAGAGAATTGGAAGGGTAAAAGTGAAAACTCGTGGGTTGAGATAAAGACAGTTACTAGAAAAAGCAAAAGGTGCATGCACAAGTAAAGCAAAACAAGGAATTCATTCGCTACTTCCCATTGACAGGCAGGTATTCAGCCATCTCCAGGAAAGCGGGGCTCCATCACGCTCAGTGGTTACTTGGGAAGACAAACGCCATCCCTCCAAACATCCCCCCCTTCTCCTTCTTCCCCCAGCTTTTATTGCTGAGCATGATGTCATATCGTGTGGAATATCCCTTTGGTCAGTTGGGGTCAGCTGTCCCAGCTGTGTCCCCTCCCAACTCCTTGTGCACCGAAGCAGAAAAGGCCTTGATGCTGTGTGAGAACTGCTCAGCAATGACTAAAACATCCTCATGTCATCAACACTGTTTTCATCACAAATCCAAAACATAGCCCCATAGAAGCTACTATGAAGAAAATTAACTATCCCAGCTAAAACCAATACAGACTATAAAATAAATTAAAAAGGAGCGGGAAATATTCCTGGGCACTGGCACTTAATCATCCATACTTCTGCATTGTTAACAAGATCCCTGGCATGGTTTTGGGCCACCAGACTGCTCTCCCAAACAATTCCAGTCATGGTTTTTAAATTAGCATGGGCAAAGGACCATCTTGGCAGACCATTGGATATTGCCACACCATAGCAGAGGATGAGAATTACAGGGAAGGATACTGGCCATTTTGTGCCAGGGAACAGTTTTTCCCTTGTTCAATTTACTAGATAGATACTTTCTATCTAAAGCCCCTTCTGAAAAAGTTGTATTAAAAAATAGTAAAAAGGAAGGGGGGAAACCCTCTACTCTGAAAGGTCACTGAAGTGAAGCCAAATATCTGTTTGATTTTGAAAGGTAGTGAGATCTGATGCTGAGGAAATGAGGGGATCTTGAAATTCATGGCAGCCAACTGTACTTGCTACTCAGCGCAGAAAAATAAATTCTTATCGGAGTGAGAGAAGCAGAACAAATTTTTGCAGTAGTGTGTTAGAGGCTCAAGTAAGGCATCTGCTGACTGTACCAGTAGGTGCATTCTTACATACCTGCAGATCCACTGCAGGGAAGACAAGATTTGCCAGCTGATCCCATGTTGTTCACGCTGGGATTGTTGAAGGCTCTTTTGGTGTGTTTAGTTCTTATGAAAATACCACTGGCAGCAACGTTTAAAGATATTCTCCCCCCCAAAAAAAGCTGAAATTTCATCCCCACACATGAGCTGAGTTAGGCTGTTGTTGGCCCCATCACAGATGCAGATACACTTCTGTGGATACATCTGCAGGTATGTGGAGAGTGTCAGAAGCTGGGAAAAATCCTCCTCCTGCTTGAAGCAACATGCAGACTGCCCCAGCTATGCAGGTCTGAAATGCAGACTTCCCTCAAAGAGGTCAGTCTGTCAAACAGCACCCCCAGATCCTTTTCTGCAGGGCTGCTCTCCAGCCACTCCTCTCCCAATTTATACTTGTGCCTGGCATTACTCCATCCCAGGTGCAGAATCCGTGGATTGGATTTGTTAAATTTCATGCCATTGATGATTTCCCAATGCTCCAATGTATCTAGATCCCTCTGCAAGGCTTCCCTCGAGACAGTCAACAGCACCTCCCAGTTTAGTATCATCAGCAAACTTGCTAAGAGTGCATTCAACTCCTGCATCCAGATCACTGATAAAGATATTGAACAAAACCGGCCCTAGGATTGAGCCCTGAGGAACACCGCTGGCGACAGGTCGCCAGCCAGATGTAGCCCCATGAGGGTTTTTTTATTAAAGGGTTTCCACCTATTTTGACGTGAGGCCCCATGAGAAGGACTATATTCAATATTCATGCATATATTTTTGTCTTTGTATACTATATCTATTTCAAAATGGGTCTCAAGGCTGAAAGTTTCAGTAGGTCTACAGAACCTCATAACCAGCAAATAGAAGTAAGCACCTATTCCTGTGAGTCTCTTTGAAAGCTTCAATCTCCATTTCTTTTGAAGTGCTCATTCTGAAATTTGAATGAAACTGAACTGTGCGGTGGGAATTAAAAACAGAAGAATGTCTGTAGCCTTAAAAATTCTAGTTCTTAAGTAAACAAATGCGATGCCTGGGCACTTTACCTATACACACAGGAGCACAATGCAATTTCTTTCTTCTGTATAAAGGGATCTTCTAATTATGTAAACAATGTTTTCCTTATGGGTAGGATAAAAAATACAAAGCAAAGAAAAACAACATGGAAATAAATTCTTAGGCCCTATATCAGCGATGGGAGTCACTGGCAAAATTAATACAGTAGAACAACTTTGGGCTGCTCTAATGTATGTCAAAGACCTGTCAGATAAAACTATATTCAACATCCAGGAAAACACGTCTGTATATGGAAATATTATATCTTTTTTCAAATGTGGCACATGCAGTTTCATGCAGTTTTGTGTCTTTTTCCTTGAAAACTCCACCTACTAAAGATTTTGCTTGTTTAAAGCACTGACTCTTGGTAACCTGCCAGATGGTACAGGAGTCTTCCTCTGCTTGAAGATTCACATTTGGTATGATCTAACTATAAATGGCAAAACTATCTTTTTATATTTCAAGGCAACAACTTTGAATGCAAGAAAGAGGGGAGTTTACCCTGAGAAGGTGAATTTCTCCACAGAAACCAGAGGTAAGTTCAGGATAAAAGAGAACCACGTCTTAAATGGAAAATATCAGCAACATAAAAATGAAATCTGCTTTGATAACTGAAATTTAGAATAATGCATAGGTCTTCACAGCTCTGCCAATCAATCACATTAAAACCAATGAGATCTCACAGGTATAAATCAAAGGTGTAAAAGAGTCAAAGCAGTGTTAGCAACTGCAAGCATTCTTCTGAATCCACTGATCCCAAATAGAGGGATACCTGGAGAGTTAGTCATACCTGGAGTCTTGAAATTTCTCAGCTGAGATGGAGTGTCACAGATTTCCAAGATCCAGTCACCTGCTGCTTTTTCACTCCAGGAGTGAGTAGTCATAAACTCCCAGTTTTTAAATCCTTCCATGGAATGATCAAATAACCTAAAATAAATAATGACATTATTTTAAGTGCACCATTTTAGTGGAGCTAAGCCTCCAAGTCTCCAGACTCTTGAAAGATATACTAATTAGCCAGTCCTTTGCATAACATTACTCATAATGGTTTTTCAGCACATCTTTCAAATACATTTGCCATTTTTTGGTGGCTTTTTTTGTGGTGTTTTTAATGGAGAAGATTCTTTACATGCCATCATTTGTCATAATTGCTACTAAGGCTTAAGAGAATGCAGGTGTCTTGGGAAAAGTACATAAAATACAGCATATCCTTTGCTTTAAAACCATGATTTAAATACAAACAGCTTTAAGTTGGAAAAGTTCTGTTACATTTATTTTTGGTTTTGAATTGAAATACTGAAAAGGGATTTTAAGAGAATAAAAGGATTAAGTGACTGAGACAATATGAGCAACTCAATATATGTGATTCCTTGTGAGACAATCAGATGCAACTGAGACACTGGTCTCAAACCTCAAATGACCAAGATGTCATTCTATTCAAACACTTGACAGGACTGAGTTTGGGTAAAACTGAGAGACTAATGGCATCTGATGATTTCATCTGACTAACAACATTAGGTCTTGGGTGAAGAGGTTAGAGCTCAGGCCTGGATTACAGTAATTTCTAGTACAGGGGGCCCAGTTCAGAGGCTGCAATTTGATGCTGATCAGGTGGGGGAAGGGGAAGGTGAACTGGTGGGAGTTTTCATTGCCTAAAACTGGAATTTATTAATGAGATTTTGGAAAGACACAAAAGAACTTGCACTTCTGTTCAGTGCTCACAGCATGTTGCCTGGTACCCCAAAGCTATTGATGGGAGATAGATACACTCTGAGACTGTTGCCTCTACTAAAATGGCACAGCTCAGCTTTAAAGATAGAGAAATATATATATACACATACATACAAAGATCTCCCTCTCTCACACGCAAAGCAGAATAAGAACTACTACATTTATCACCATTTTAATTTGCTTTTTATTCCACTGGTGACAGCTATACTTAAATATTTTTCATAAAAAATATCTGTACAGTAGAAAATCCAATGGACTTAGAATACTTTTCCATTAAATTGCGATAAATCTAGTGTTTGACTACAAAATACTCAAATCAATCTTAAAAATACATTTTATACTCACTTGATTCTTTACTGTTATTTTCTAAGCACATTTCAATCTTTATTCTCAAAAGGTTATGAAGTGGGAAAACATTGGGAAAGCAGGATACTTTTGTAGCAATGTGAATATGTGCCAAGTTCTAGTTAAAATGTTCACATAGGATATCGATAAAATGCCATTCTTCCTGAAAACTGGTCAGAGGCATGGGGCCAAGTACTGCATGGGTCCACATATCCACAACTCTCCTCAGTAGGACCCGTATGCATGGAGCACTTATATGATTCAGCCCATAGTTGATTTTTGCTCTCTCATTTGTGTAACCATTTTCCATTCTCTATGAATGCCTATATTACTCATATTTATTAGTGTTGATAACATTAAAATAAAATATTCATATATATTTAAAATTAGGATGGATTTTCACTGATAATTGGATGAGACTTACTTCTGATGCAGTTCTAAATATAGAATTATGCCACCAGAGTTGGCCCGTTTCATATCACTGTTAAATCAGTTGTTTGAATACAACAAATTTCATAAAAACATGACAGATAGGACACATAATTTGACACATCATTTACTGAAAGGGTAGAAATTATCTACCTAGTTATTACCCAAAGTTTGCATGTGGGTATGTCCAATTTAAGTCATTATGCAGGTTATTTCCAAGAGAGTTAGTCAAATTGTCATACAGTGTTTCACTGATAACTAATGTATTACTTTTTAAACACACTGTCAGTCAAAGCAGCAATATTCCTAATTGCCATGATGGCAGCTAAATTATATAGTATTATATAAGTACCATGCAATTATATTTTAAATTCTACATTCATTGGGCTTCCATTTACATACATAGAAACACTAGTTACTGCTTATTTTTACTGTAATTAGTCCCATATTATTTCCCATATTATTTTGTGTTTAAAGGTGTTTATATGTTATGTTTTGGTATTTTAAAATGCTGATAGATTTCTATTTTAACCTTGCATCACTCTTTTAAGTCATTTTGGGAGGAAAAAAACAAAAATCCCTTATGTCTTGGTCTTGGATATATAAAAACACCTCTACCTAAAATAAGCTATGGCTGAAACTGTAAGTGTTCATATTTTGATCCCTGGAGGTGCAGGAAAACCTAGTAAGATTATTTCCCAGAAAAAGGACTAGTATTTGGAACGAACATTTCCCTAAACTTCTTTGGGAAGGTTTTGAATTCTATAAAGTAAGGTTTAAATTGGAATTTTTAAATGATTCTATAAATGAATCAAAAAGCTACAGACAGATCACAGAATCACAGAGGTTGGAAGGGGCCTCTGGAGTTCATCTTGTTCAACTCATCTCCTCAGGCAGAGCCACCTAGAGCATGTTGCCCAGGACCATGTCCAGATGGCTTTTGAATATCACCAAGGATGGAGACTCCACAACCTCTCTGGGCAACCTGTTCCAGTGCTCAGTCATCCTCACAGAAAAAGTGTTTTTCCTGATGTTCACATGGAACCTCCTGTATTTCACTTTGTGCCAATTGCCTCTTGTCCTATTGCTGGCCACCACTGAAAAGAGCCTGGCTCCATCTTCTTTACACTCTCCCTTCAGATATTTATATACATTGATGAGATCCCCGCCCCCGAGCCTTCTCTTCTCCAGGCTGAACAGTGTCAGTTCTCTCAGCTTTGCCTCATGAGAGATGCTCCAGTTCCTTAACCATCTTAGTGACCCTTCACTGGACTCTCTCCAGTATGTGCATGTCTCTCTTGTACTGGGGAGCCCCAAACTGGACACAGGACTCCAGATGTGGCCTTACCAATGCTGACAACAGGACTGATCAAAAGAACCGTTAAGAAAAAAAAAGTGGAAAGATATTGACTCTGAGGCTATCTGTATGTGTATGTTGTACATACTTAACAGGGCAAGTATTTTTATGTTGCTCTGCTTATGCTCTCACAAATCAAAGAACCTGGATTTCCTTTTCAGTGGTGTTGAGTGAAAGGATGAAACAATCAAAATAGTTACCAAAAAGTTCAGGTGTAGTTTTCCTTATTCAGGAAGAAATACATACAGAATAGGATCTTTTTAAGGATTATGGAGCCAGTCCAGATGGTTGATTTTGGTATTTGTCAGATTGATATCATGTCAAACTTCATATCAAGGATACACTTAGCTTGTCATGGACTAGTAAATTATTAGTATATGGTCTGATGAATTGTTAGTTGACTATTACAGGTTCTTATAGATTAAAATAGTTTAACAAGATGCTGAGAATAATCTGATAATATTTATGACCATGCTTATATACATCTTATATACATGCTTATATACATATAAGCATGAAATGCTCTGTCATCACCTAAAGACATGTCAGGTTGCTGAGTTCCACATACTGCACTGGTCAGCCAGCCATGTGGCTGATGCTAATAGTTGTCTTCTTAAAAGCTGTGTGTGTTTTCCTACTGAATTTGCAGTAAATCTTCAGAAACCTCACTCTAAACAGGTAGAAATTCTAATGCAAGAGTATGAATGAACACAGTGCCATATATACAGATTTTTCCTAGCCATCATCATGTAGGTCTGAAAAGGGATCTCCGATTAGGGTAAGGGCAGTAGGGGAGACTGAGTGTTCATCACACAATTCAATTTATTCCAGCTGAAACTCAATGTAATAAGTGTTATTATACTAAGATTGAGCTGGGCCTAGTTTTTCTACGGCTAGGAAAAGACCCATTCATCCTTGCATAGTAGCTGGGGCAAACCTATCTACAGGAAGCAAAATCCTAAGTGTTCTTCCTCTAGTCTGTCTTACAAAGCTCCTCTCTTTCTTTTTGGTTCAGTACAAAACCCATAGTCTGAGACATTTAGCTGGATCCTAAATTTGTCTTCATCCATTTGTCTTTATTCACACTTCTACTATTGAAAATTATTTCAAACATTTAGTTATGGATGCTAATTTTCCACTAAAATTGAACTTAAAGTTCTGAATTTTGAAATCCAATACCTGCCTACCCTGCAGATCTCCCTGATTATTTCTTTACTAGTTTCAGTCCTCAAAGAAAGGCATGTGTCATTCTAGATCTCAGATATATTGCACTTCATTCTTTTTCCACATTTATCTTTGAACAACTTCAATCAGCAGTAACTTTTTCTTCTTTGAGATAAAAAAAAATGTTTACTGTTTGGGGTTTTTTTAATGCTGTGTCTCCAGTATCCCCAGAGCTCCTCACCATATCTATTGCTAATACTGACAGGATATAACAAAAGAAGTACTCAAATCCTTTTTAGAGATTGCAATTGCAGTTCAAAGAATGGGTGGTAGAAGGGTACTGGGTGTCTATTCAGAAAAATAAAAGACATAGACAATCAAGATATTAAATGAAATATAGCAAGTTAGAGTTGGGAGTTTTCCGAAGTTTTCCAAGAACCGCTTCATTCTGTGGACATAACATAAGCAGAGGATTATTGTTTTCTCATCCTGCATTTAATAATGTCACCATAGGGTAATTTTCACAGCTACTTGAAACACTGAGACTCAGCACGAAAGTCGACCCTATCCTTTTCTTTTTACCCCTAAAATGTAATTTTTGTTATTGGAGTCTAATGTGTAAACTGCAATAAAGATGTAAGATGGACTGGTCCAGAAATTAAAATAACCTCCTATAAAGAAAAGGTTTCCTCTACTTCTGATCACCAAGAATTTTTATGAAGTGATCTTGCAAGTGAGATCAGATGAGAATACCTCAGTTTTGGTCTAAGAGTTTTCTGTAGAGGAGGGTATTATTAAAATTTACTGATTATTGAAGGTTTCATTACAGGAAAAAGATGGTATTGAAAATATTTCCTTTTGTTGCTGAACAAAGGTATTATTAATGTCAGTGCCATGTAAGCATAGGAACCTAGTGGCCTGGAAACTTGCCACCCCACAGTTAAAAAAAAAATCAGTTATGCAGTTTGAATGGCAGCAGCTGATTTAAATTTAAAGAGCAAGATTTAAATAAGCTGTGACTTTAGTGTGAGACAAACCAGCCCCAAGTTTGTGGCTTCTATCCTCTTTCTATTTAGCTGCTCCTCTATGGCCCCCTGTATTGAGTGTCTTTCAGAACAGATTGTGGTATGTCTCAAAAATACTCAGAAACATATGCTGCCAAATTCAGTGGCCAATTGTTTTTAAAGAGGGGATACTGTTCCCCTTTGGACTTAACTGTAATCATTTGAACAATTAATCCTCATCCTCACACCAGCCAGCATTTTTCAAGCCTGTATTTTCTTCTGTTGCAGTATATACAATGTAATCATGTTTATTACTTTCCAAACAACAAAGCATATGTTCCCTGTAATGCAGTTTTTAAAGAATACACGAAGCTCAAGGCAGTGACAGTGTAATCCACCAAATGGCTGCAAAGGAATCCACATCACCTACAATTAACAAGTTTTCTTACTGAAGTCATTTTAGGGGATGCCAACATTAAGAACAAAATATGCAGAAAAAGGACAGGTATTGCCTTGAGAACCTACTTTCAATGCACCAGAAACTACACAGTGACTCTTCTTTCCAGAATTGGTAGAAAAGTGCACATGTGTAAAATATACCTTTTGCACTTTAAGACATTTTGCCAGCAAACTGTTTCAAATTAAACCCAGATGAGTAATGGTAAAGCAATGAGGTTTTCCCTAGTTTCAGTAAAAAACAGCTGGTATTGCTGCTATTAATCATGTACATGTGCATTAAAAGCTCTTGTATGTCTGAGAAAAGCATCTCAGTCAGGTAGTAGCAATGTACAGCAGCCTCTGGAACCTTTGCCTATAGAAAAAAACCCAGACCATTTGCTGCCAAGGCATCCCTGCATGCTACTTGCACTTGAATGACTTTATTCTGAGGCCCTCGTGATTAATACTTTAAAAAGTGAATGCCTCAAAACTAAAGAAATTTTCATGTTAGTGAATAACAATACTCCTCCCCCAGTTTTCATAACATGATGCTAAAGCATACACACCCAACAACACTCAGTATACTGTAGTACTAAACTGCAAGAAACAGAAAATCCAAATAAAACAAGTCTTGAAATATCATTTTGAAAAGTGTTGCATCCATATACATAACTTTACCCTAAGAAAGGGCTTTGTGAAGGCTCTAGTGTATTTCAGACCTAGATTTTGCAAAATACATTTATTGCTTAATGTTAGTACCCCAGAGCTGTGAGTTGGTGTCAGCCAAATGTGACTGACAAGTCAGTATATCTCTGAAGCTTGCTTGGGGAAGGAATTTCTGGTGTGACCATATGAATATTTGCTCTTTCATGAATAATTTGTTTTTACAAAATGGCAAAACATTAAATGGCCTTTCAGGTTTCTTTGTTTTCACGCTAGCATTCTGATAGTATAGGATAAGAAGCAGCTGAACACCACCGTATTTCAATATACACACTTACTTTTTCTCTACCACAGGCACAGAAAACAATTACTTTTTAAGGAGCAGGGGTTACAAAGAGACTGATTGAATTAAATTTTGTACTTTTTCCACATACCAGTCATCACCAGAGGTGAACTGTGAATGTTGGAATGTGTTTATTTCCCACTTGCTGTGAGTCAACTGCAAGGCATGAAAGGCTAGAGCCAAGAGTTAGCTGTGTTAAGACCACTGGGTTTACATAAGCTCGTTTTGTTTGGATACCTAGTTGGAGGACTTTTAGATTTTTTAATTTTGAAGCGTGGAAGAACTGTGGCATAAAAACAGAACAGAAAGGTAAAGGAGGATTCTTTCAAATAGAAAACAAAAGTCTGATTCGTAACTGTTCAGAGGGTAGAAGTCTGCCCTCTGCACTGGTTAGCAAAGGGTAAGTTCTTTGTTCAGTGTAGCAGGGAGACAAATGTGTGTGCATGTGTGTTTTGTCTGCAAGGCACTGACACCAGTAATGAAACACAGGAGATATCCTAAAGGGGCCAAAAACTCCAAAACAACTTTCTTTCCATTTGATGTGCTTTTTTCAGCAAATCTGACTGGGCAAATGTAGATGATGAGACAGTATGGAAAGCAAGCCACTCCCAATTCATTAAAAGCTTTGAGGAATAGGACTAGGGATATAAACTTTTGTGAAGACTTGAGTGGGAAGGCAGAAGAGTTCTCACAACGTAGATGTGATGTGTCACAGCAGCTCTTGCTGCTTCTGAGACACATTGCACTAATGTCAACTTTTGTGTGGGAGCCACGCTCTGTGCCCAGCAGAGCTGCAGTCATCTAAAGCTGCTAGTTACCAAGGCAAAAATATTCTTTATTATACTATAGTCCTGTCAGGAAGAGTTTTCTAGCCAGCTGGAGAAGTATGGAAGCATTTATCATTGTAACTTATTTGCACAGTTGGAAATGAGATGGAGTTTGAGGAGGCCTCTGGGCTTTCTTAGTGCTTTAGTGATCTGTGGTAGTCAGCAGTGCTCTTGATTGCTGATTTAGCATTATGTATCTGGGAAGGAATGCTGATGGTTTCTTCAAAGAAAATTTCTCATAGTAGACCAAGGAAATAGAAATACCACTGGGAAGCCTTTCAGTTTGTTGAGGACAAATGCTAATGATGTACCTCATCTCTAGGGACTGAAATTGCACAAATGTTGGAAATGCTGCATTGGCTAATGATATACTTGTTTGAGTTCAGTCTGGAAAAAAAGAAACTACTTGATGCAGTCTCACAGTTTCTCCAAGAAGATACTGTAGAGGTGACAGGATGAAAAAAAAGGATGGATCTTTCTTAGTGGCTAATGTTAGAGGGGCCTGACATCCAACAGCAAGTATCCATCATAGATCTATGGGATGAAGGAAATTGCTGACTATTTTAAATTTTAATAGGCTGTTTATAGATGGACCCATTAATTTTAAAGTGCTAGTGCAACTTCTCAGCATTCTCCTACCAAGAGCCTTTCATGGCTTGAGCATACTACATACTACTACAAAAGGGGAAAAAAAGGATATGCAAATTGGCAACATCAGGAGTCATAACCATATTCTGAAAGCTTAAAGAAAATAGTAAGAGAAGATTACTATTCTGTCTGATTTTTATTACTAGTAGATAAAGGCATAAGAAAGGAGGGGAAAGAAAAAATAAGTGCCAATAGTATGTAGAAACACATTTTCATTCAGCTTCAGTTTCCTTCTCTAACACTCAGCCTGTTATTATTTTCTTCGCAGTTCCCAGCCATCTAATAATTGGTGATCCACAAAAGATTATCAAAATTGACTAATCTTAGTTTTAAAGATTATGATCTTCAACAGCTTTACAGCCTATTCTTCTACTGATAGAGACTGCCATCTTTCAGTTCATTTGTTCTTCATTTTCCTTATCTCTCTCAGAAAAAATAATTAAGAACTTTGTGTCTTTCGGCAAAACCTACTGTAATGACTTGACTACTCTTTGATGATGCTTCAATGTCAGTGAAGGCCCTGCATGCTGACTGGGTTGCAAAGTTGTGTTGTCATACTATACCTGTTGGCCAAGAGCTGTGACCTAGTTCCAGAAGGAGAGGTTAGGTAAATTGACAAGTCTCCACGTCGAGGGTGAGTAATAGTGATGCGTACAACCACGTGCTCCAAGTAGATCACGTGGTGGTTGGGATTATCTGAACAGCCGGTGGCTTTGTAAATTGAACGGACAACACTGTCAGGCCGTATAGTTCTATAATATAAGCATATAAAAACAACATCAATGTTTCTTGCTTGTTCCTGACAACTAAATAACTTTAGTTATTTAGTGTGAGTAACTTCAGTTAATAACTTTAGTTATTTAGTCTTAATAAGTGACTGCCAGTGTTGGACAATCATTTCCGAGAAATCAGTAGCCTATAACCCTTAGTTTTAACACTTATTTCCTAGCTGAAACTACTACTGTAGTGTAACTACTTTACTGCAGTCACTGGCAATTACTGGGCTTTCTATTAAGGGCTATGCTGACATGTACACATGCTAAAAGAGGACAGTGAAGACCTGTAATAGGAATAAACCTTTAGGACAGAGCATTTTTTGTGGATTAGTGGCAAGTTGGGATTGTCATGGGATGACAGCTGGTCATTAAGTACCAGGAAATGCCTGGCATCGCCATAGCCCTTGCTTATGTGATAGCAAGTATTACATATTAAGTGTAACAAACAGTGGGCAGTGTCAGACTCAGATGGTTTAAATTGGCATGGCTTCCTTGCAGACTATACCAGTTATGGACCTAGACTGTCAAGTATATCTATCAAATAAAAACTTTCCTCAATGATTTTAAGGCTTTGGGAATGTGCCTTATGACTGATGCTCTCTCTGTATCTACAGAATGCATGTACAGAATACTACTCTTAAGCCTGGTTCTATAGAGACCCTATCCTAGCAAGCAAAAACCAGTTTAGTCTTAGCCTCTGAGACAGAGACTCTCCTGAGACTGTTTCAGAGTGATAGTATGATATAAGATTTCAATGAAAAGAATATTTATATGTTAGACACTGAACTATTGAATTTGTACTCATCTTACAAGGATGACTGGAGTGCACTCAACTAGACATTCTTGTTCTTCAGAGCATCATCTATGCCAGTATCAATTAACATCCAGCCTGAATTGTTTTCTACCTTCAGGTTTTGGGACATTCTTTAAATTCCATTCCAAGAATTGCAGGGAACAAACTTTACAGGCAAATGATCTGACATATCTGAAGGAGAGATCCTCAGTGTAGCTTTCAAAATCACCCATTAAACACAGTGCAAGGGAGGGGTATATTATACCCAACTTCTTTCCATAAGTTTATGCCAGCAAGAGTTTTGGCAGCAGCTATTACTTGATTTGCCGATCCGTGTTCTCCACACACACATGCTGTGGAGGGACTGTTGTCCACTTTTCTGCTTCTATCACCATTGCTTCAGCATCCATCAGTCCAAATCCGTAGAGGTGGCTCACTGCAAGGTACAAGCAGAACGCAATTATAGGACGAAACCTTGTAAAAAAACTTGTAACCTTGATAAAAACTTTCATCATAGAATAATTCCAGGGATTCATATGCTAACAGCAACTGCTTTTTTTTCCTACTTCTTATTTGCTTTGGTTCAAAGCTCAAAAATCTCTTCACCAGGAACATATCTAATTTGTTCACTGAATCTATTCACTACTTTATTACAGATGCAGCTAATGACCAGCATGAATAACATCGCCTGACCATGAGGAGGGTGGACCAGAACTGCAGAATGCCAGGGATTACAATTGCCTCAGATTGCCCTTTGTCCAGATTCAGCCTGGTCCCCTTATATGACATAATGTTAAAAGGTGTAAAGAACCAGAGAAGAGTAATTTCTGTCACTCAAAAACCAAAGACACACACATATGTAAATATTGAAGGCAACTGAGACACTGGATTTACGAAGGAACAGACTGTCTTTTATAACTTCTGTATGTTTCTTCTGTATGCTCTTTACTTTCCTGAGTATAGCATGTAGATGCTCTCCTATCATGGGGCAGTTTACATGGCACCAGGCCTGCTGGAGACAGATGAGGTTCACCTGTCGCAAAGGGGGAAAAAGATTATGACTCAGGAATTAGCAGGCCTCATTGAGAGAGCTTTAAACTAGATGAGAAGGGGGAAGGGGATAAAACCAGGCTTGCTAGGGATGAGCCTAGGGGTGGCAGGCCTGTGTTGGAGAAGAGATCTATAGCCCAACTGAAGTGCATTTGCACAAATGCACGCAGCATGAGCAATAAGCAGGAGGAGCTGGAAGCCATTGCGTGGCAGGAAA